GCCTGATGCAGGACTTGATCCCAGGATCTTGGGATCATAACCTGAGCCAAAGACAGATGCTGAACCAACTGAGCCACCCAGGCGTCCCCATACTCTCACTTCTAAAATAAATAACCAAAGGAAAGGCGGTAGTTGCATCCCATAGGTCACAAAGGAACAAGCCAGAGGCCAGGCTCTCAATCCCTGACAAGATGTCCTGTCCTCACAGATCCGTGCAACGAATGGGGGTGAGGGTGAGCAGGGAGTGTGCACCCACCTTTCTGAGAAGCTCCATATTCCTATGTGGACAGCGCCTGCCAACCCTCACAGAATCTTCTTCCCCTCTACTAGCTGCACTTGGCGGTCCTGTGTCAGCCTGAGCCCGGCCCTATGGGGGGAGAGAGAAACCGCCCTGCGGAAGGAAACCCAGGGAAGGCATGGCAGGAGGGGGATGGGGCCAGTGCAGCCAATTAATTTTCCTGTGCTGCTTACTTCGTTATCCCCCAACCTGCTCTGATGAGAATAAGCGTAACTGTCCCCAGGATGTCAAGGTCTGGTGTTTTCAGTAAATCACACAGAAATCAGAAGTAGACTCACTGTGTCACTCTGAATAGAGGTACCTCAATCCATGCTCAGGTGGGAATGGTGAGGTTTGGTGGCTAGTCTGCTCCCCTCTGTGTCACCTGCCATCTTTGGGACCTACTTGTCTCATCGTGAAAGGAAATGCTAGGTATTTTCCTACTGTATGGGCCTTTAAGACTCTTGTTACATGGATCTGGTCATGAAATAGTTATGTGTCCTGTTCATGAGGTCTCCAGCTAGCAGTCACCTGGCCAAAGAAATGACAATTTACAAAGCAACACTTACTTTGATCCAGAACTAAAGTATTTAGTAGAGCAGTTCCTCCTAAAAGGTGTTTTTTGGGAACATCATTGGTCCCATGGTACGTTCCCAGAAAAACGGGCTTCATGGAAAGTATACAATACAGTGTCTTTACATACCAGCGTATTGACGGCGGAACATATCGTTTATACGAGTTCAACCCAGCATTTCCAAAATTTATTTGGTCATTGAATTCTTTTGCTTTCCAACCTCTAGAGGCAGCCCTGAGCCCTGGTTTAGTAGGACATACTTGGGTAAGTGCCGACGCAGTCTGGAAAGATTGCTTCTGCTCCCTGCTCTCTAGTGCAGAGACAGGCTTTCTTCTTTTCACCACATGACTTCAGCATCAGAGGAGTCATCGTAATACCAATAACGCCCTCATTCTCTGGCTCATCCCAACACCATGTCTACGGAGGCTGACAAGCCAGCACTCTCCCACCAGTGACTGGGAGGTATCTCTGTGCATTGCTTCCATGTTAGGGAAACAATTAGCATTTTGTTCTACAAAAAGGCTCACTGCAATTTACTAACATTTTTCCCCTAGTAAAAATGATCAGTTTGATATCCCCTTGAAAAGGTAATAGTATAAGGAATATCCGCAGCTGACCCAGGGGCATGATCAGACCTAAAAGCAGAAGGACCTTTAGAGTATGTACCATTTACCAAGCAAACCCTCCAAGGCAGGTCCTCTTATTACAGCCATTTTGCAGATGAGGAAACTGAAGGTAGCTAGCTTCTCCAGGCTCCTACAGGAGCAGTCTGATTGCTTGAGAACCCATGTGCTTAACCCCAGAAGAACAGGTAGCTGATGGAGATCCCAAGTTGGTGCCTTCAGAGTGACTGTCACCAAGAAGGCCACGGAAGTTCCTGACGCTCCCTCTTCTAGATGCAGAGTGGTTAAGTACTTCTTCCAGATATTTCTGCTGTGCTTGCCACTGCATATGTCTGATGGTTTCCACAGAGCTTGGCCACAGGGGCAGACTGCCTTCTGTTCAGCAGAATCCTTATTAGCTGTGGCCTCTGCATGCAGCCTCTCCCTACCTGGAGGGCTGACTTCCTGGGCCTGCATTCACATGGGGCCCCGGACTGTGCTGTTGGCATCGTGAAACTCTCAAAAGCTTCTGAATAAGGGGCCTGCCGCATTACTTTTGCCATAGCCCCTACCCCCCAATTATGAAGCTGGTCCTCCCTGCCTCTTTGATGTCATTTTATGTAAGAGGATTTGGGGTAGCAAATCTCTGTGAGAGGACCCTCCCCAAAATGTATGAAGGAGGGTCCCTAGAGATGATAGGTAGCAACTAGCTACACAATTGAACACATAACATACACTCACGTTAGGTAAGTATGCCTGTGACAAGAATCATGCTCCCAAGTCTCGATTTCGGCAATTAGCCATGTATCCAGAGGTCAGCCCAAATCCACACCTGTTCTCTGCATCCATATGGTTGACAAGCACCCTACTATCCGAGAAATGCATTGTTCAAGGACAAACTGCTTTGTTTCATGAAATTTTATCTAGAAATCATGAGCTGTCCAAATATTCATACCTTTTGGTGAAGTCATCCTACATTAAGGAAAGTAGGCTAAGGATATCTTTTTTTTTATAATTTAAAAATTTTTTTATAAACATATAATGTATTATTAGCCCCAGGGGTACAAATCTGTGAATCACCAGGTTTACACACTTCACAGCACTCACCATAGCACATACCCTCCCCAATGTCCATATTCCCACCACCCTCTCCCTACATCCCTCCCCCTGGCAACCCTCAGTTTGTTTTGTGAGATTAAGAGTCTCTTATGGTTTGTCTCCCTCCCAATCCCATCTTGTTTCATTTATTCTTTTCCTACCCCCCAAGCCCCCCACATTGCATCTACACTTCCTCATATCAGGGAGATCATATGATAGTTGTCTTTCTCCGATTGACTTATTTCGCTAAGCATAATACCCTCTAGTTCCATCCACGTCGTCGCAAATGGCAAGATTTCATTTCTTTTGATGGCTGCATAATATATATATATATATATATGTATATATATATATATATACATATATATATATACATATATACATATATATACACATACACCACATCTTCTTTATCCATTCATCTGTTGATGGACATCTAGGTTCTTTCCATAGTTTGACTATTGTGGACATTGCTCTATAAACATTCAGGTGCACGTGCACCTTTGGATCACTATGTTTGTATCTTTAGGGTAAATACCCAGTAGTGCAATTGCTGGGTCGTAAGGTAGCTCTATTTTCAACTTTTTGAGGAACCTCCATGCTGTTTTCCAGAGTGGTTGCACCAGCTTGCATTCCCACCAACAGTGTAGGAGGGTTCCCCTTTCTCTGCATAAGGATATCTTTTTTAAAAAGGGGGAAAAAAATCTATGAACCCTGATATTCAGTGAAGTGGTAGCAAGAAGAAAAAGAGAAAGCAAATTAAATGTTCAGAAATAGAGGAACGATTAAATAAATTACGGAGTTCAACTTAAAGGAAAGTGTGCCAGGGGTTGGTAAACTTTTTACACAAAGAGCAGAGTAGATATTTTAGGATTTGCAGGCCACAGTGTTTCTGTAACCACTAATCAATTCTGCCACTGTAACAACCTAAACAACGCAAAAATGAATAACCATGGCCAAGTTTCAATAAAAGTTTATTTGGAAAAACAAGCAATGGGCCAGACTTGGCTAATGAGAAGTTGTTTGCTAATCCATGGCATCACCATTTGAATGATGATTGTGGAGACTGTATTACATGGGATAGTTAATGCAAATGAGCAGGATAAAAAAACTGTATATCCTCAATGAGTACAACTGCGTATTTGTCTGTGTCTGTATATTTTACAATCTGGAAAGAAAACATACGTATATGCAAGTAGTAGTTGGGCTGGAGAACGAGGATTGTAGGGTGATTTTCTTTTCTTTGCTCTGAGAGAGATTTTCTCAGCCTTGATGTTCTTTCATATATCTAATGCTCAGTTATGTATGAAAAAGATACAGGTGCCTGTCCCTTATAACCAAGTCTCTACCAAACGGCCAATGGATACTTAGAAAGCATGGGCTGTTCTTATGCAATCTCCATTTGCATAACAGCTTTTGCTTCCCAAATCTTTAGTCCCCAACATTTGGAGGTTTCCCTTCAATTAACATTGCATCAAAAAGGAGGACACTTCTGCTGACCAGTGCTCAGCTGGGCCCGTGGCCACTGTGTTGCTTGGCCTTTTCCAGGGAAGCTGGGCACATCACTGAGCATTCCACAATCTGCGGTGGGTAGAAAGAGGAAAGAGAAGTGACATTCTTTGAAAACCATGCTAACTCTATCTTACCGTGGATTCTTCCAGTTAATAACTGAACATAAGCGATCATGAATTTGCGTTGCGAGACCACCTGCCTAAAAGACTCTCTTGTTTTGTTTTGCTTTATTGAACTATGGGGTGGTCTCCATTAGTGGATTTCACCGTATACAGATTTAGTCAAAGCCATTATTATATTTAAATTTGTTGAGCTGGAGTTTTATGAGAGATTTATCCCCAAAGGAAATCGACTCGCCTTTGTGTATGTGTTCATTTCAAAATACAGTATCTTGTCTCATTAAATCCCAAAGAATGAGGGATTACAACAAAACAAAGCAGGCACTGCCTTTATTAAGCAGGCTAAACAATGTGCAGTAAAGACGATGAGTTTTCTTTTCTTCCTTTGGGATTACATAATTGAACATAAGTTGATATAAAGAGAAGATTTCTGAATGAGACAGACTTGAAAACAATCTCATTTAAAAGAAAAACACATTTTTTTTTTATTTTCTGGAAGGATCTTATATTAAATAAGAGATTTTCTCTCTAGTGCTCCTGTCTCTTAGTTATCATAACGAAATAATTTCCCAAACTATACCTCTTGTTACTGGTTGTCATGGAAATAGTTGTGCTATATCCACAGTTGAGCATTAAAATATCACAATGAAATTCATAGAGAGGAGAGTGCCTGGAGAAGTCTCTTTAATTTTAATCAGAATGCATCTGATAATACCACAAAGATAAATGGTTACCATTCCCTTCATCCACAATTGATCAAAAAGCTAAGCAAATCATAAGGCCCTCTTCTCTTTTGCACAAATTTTTGGGTCTACCAGATTATTCCCTCATGAGAACTGGGAGAAAGATGTTCAATCACCCAGCAATCCTCAAAGTAGAAGACTTTAGGAAATAATATTAATTAGCAATAATCACGCCTTGGATAAACCTCATTGGCTACGATACTGCCACTGTGCAAAGCTTAGGAAATAATATTAAAAGAAGCATCTTTTGATGGCTTGCTCTATGCTTGGTACTATGTTAAAGGCTTTGCATATATTAGCTAATTAAATCTTCATAGTAGCCCACAATGTAGATGCTGATGTTGTACCCATTTTACAGATGAAAAAGACAAGCAGTAAGGTAAGTAACAGAGTTACTAAGTTGTTGAGCAAAGACTTGAAATCAGGTCACTGGGATTCTAAAACCTCTTTTAGTGACTAGTCCAGTATGTTGCCTTAACAAAGGGAAAGGTCCTAACGGATTGGGAAGGGAAGACTTTGGGGGGGGATGGTATATCGAAAGAGGATTCTCCCTGAAAAAAGTTCTTCGGGCTAGGAGTGGAGGAAGATAATTTTACATTGTTTGTAGGATGTGAGTCTATGAAACCAAGTGCCAGTGGTTCAACCAGGTACTAAAAATGGGAGTAGCGATGGGAAAAACATGAACAGTCAAAATGATCAGGAATTCCAGGATCTACTTCCCTGTTTCTAAAATAAAACAAAACAAAACAACCAAAAAAACCCTGAAAATTTTAAGATTTTTTTATCATTTGAAAATGACCTGAAAGTTGGGGATGGGGCATAGAGTCAGCTGGTAACTAGCATTTCAATAGCTTCTCTTGGGAAATTTGGACATACATTCTGTCATATCATAGCCATGTGCTTATACACACATAAACATAGTTACCCAATTTATTTGGCTTAATAATGGGCTATATGATATACCATGTACAGTGTAATATAATATATATACATAAGAAATTCATTTTAAGGCATTTAAATTAAAAACTATCTACATTTACTTACCTTTCTTATTTATAGAGCATATTAATTTAATATTTACTTAATGACAGGGTAATCATCACAAACATTACATATTATTCTATTCTAAAATTCGTGGCTTTAGGTGTCATTGAATTCTAGGGGACTCTCTGCTCCTATATCACATGACATTAGGCTACTATGCCCTTGAAACCTGAAGCTTGTAATCTGGAGGTAGGATGTATCCTATGCTGTGTCAAGAAAATAGTATGTGCTTTGGAGTTTTAAAGACTAGCATTGACTCCCAACTGTGTGTTCTTGTGTTAGTCACTTAAGTTTTGTGAGCCTGAGATTTTCTCATCTATAAAATGGAAATAAATTGCAATACTTCGCTTAGAGTATTGTTTTGAGGATCAAAGAGAATATATATAAAGGAACAAAGTTAAAAATGCTTAGTAAATGGAAATTTATTTTATTTATGTCACCTTCTCCTCCTCCTCCTCCTTCTTTTTTTTTTTTTTTTATGTCGCCTTCTTTTTGTCAGTGTCCTGGCTTCCTACCATTAGTGCCATTTACTCTAGGAAAATCTCAACTCTTAATTAACTCACTCTTTAGAGCTGTGGACTGATAAATCAGATGACAGCTGATAGAACTTATTAAAATTAAGCCCTGCATAAGATTAAATAGGATCTGAGCAAATAAAGGCATAGTTTCTATAACTGCTTAAAACTAGACTCCCTGCTCCTGATCTATGGTCTAGAATCTTGAACAGGGATGGTAAACAGGTTTCATCTTGTATGCCAACTCTAGTCTCTTGGAAGTGGCTGTCTGTAACACTGGATTGAAAAGGATTCTCTACCTGAGTCCTAGCTCAGTGTGAATGAGGGCAGTGATCAATTAGTAATGTCTGCCTTGGGCAAGGGTTGGGATGGGATGAGGTGGCTGGCATGTCAGTCACATATTTGCAAAACCTAATCTAGGTTCTCAAGCTTTCCAACTCAATTATCTTCCTATAAATGAGGGGTATATACATTTTGAATATGGGTGTATATATACACACATAAATCAGTATATGTATATATAAACAGATTCATGTGTTTTCATTGAAAAGTCTGAATGCATTCGGGATTCTCAATGAATCAGTTTTATTTTTCACTAACCAGTGTTCTCCACTGTTATTTCTAAGGTCTCTTCAGGCATCATCCATGACTTTTTGTAAAAATTGTTTTAAAAAGAATTATTTCAGCCTAGTTTGGAAGTCAAATCCCAAAACTAATAGAAATTTCCTCTCCTTTTCTCTGTAGCACAAGCTGGATCTGTATTTCAAGACATTTGCAGACACGAGGGCAAATGGGCTTCCCTTTAATTCCTCTTCCCCTTTCCTTTTCTAGGTCAGACTTTGGACACTTCCTTTGCCCCAACCCCAGCCCCATCCATTTCTGGGTCTCTGGGTTTTCTGAGAAGGGGAACTTGAGAGAGGGCAGAAATCCCTGACTGCCTACCTATAATGGAAGACAGCTTTGGTCTCACTCTGGCTTGGCCTAGTTTCGTCTGCCACTGGTGACTTTTGTGTATGGAGAATTTATATGTGGTTTTAAGAGGTGATAGTCTTTACTCCCTCCCCTCCCCCCCATTGCTGATGGGTGGTTGTGCCTACGTTTGTGAACATAGTTCCTCACCTCTACCCTCTCTCCAGATGAGGTAAACTTCACTTGGTTGCCACCTGTGTAGCCCATGGTTTTTGTGTTTTGCATTGGAGCTGTGGGTAATTGCCATTATACATTTCAAAGGTAAGGTGGGTCAACCCCTCCTTCCCCATATCCTTCTCAAGAATATACTACATTGTTTTGGGCCAGCCTGCTATCATTAGAGACCTCTAGGAAGGAGGCAGACTCCAGACTCCACATTCCTTATGTCACAAACTCCAGTGAATACACTGAGCTCCCACTCATTCCTTCTCCACTCTCTACCCAATTGGCAGGGCCAAGGAAGATCTTCAGGTTTCCAGCTCAAACGAATTCACAGTTAGAGTGGGGAGATGCTGGTCTTCCCTTCATTGGGAACCCTTAATTTCTGAGCCATTCTCTTAAGTGCCCCTTCTATATGTTCATGTGGTTTATATTCAGCTATAGTTTTGGCATCTGGTGCTGGGCCTGACAGCAACAGCTCAGGCAGTCAGAAAGGGAAGATGGATATAAAGTGGGAGAGAGCGATCGAGGATGAGCTGGCATCTGTCAACGTCTCACTGTCTCTCACTTCAAAGATGGGGAGTCTTATAGAAGCTGGTGCCCCTTGCTATGGAGCTAAACACAGGTCTGGCCCAGGAGTTGAGCTGAAGGAGGAAATCTGATGAGAACCTCTCACTTCAAAGATGGGGAGTCTTATAGAAGCTGGTGCCCCTTGCTATGGAGCTAAACACAGGTCTGGCCCAGGAGTTGAGCTGAAGGAGGAAATCTGATGAGAACCAGGAGAGCTGTGGGCTGTAAAGGGCTTATAAAATAAGCTAGTATGTTCCTGACAATATGCTTGAGCATAAGCTCAGTGTCTGAGCTTCTAAGAGATGGCTGCAGCCTCCCTTCTGCCTTGTGGTTCCCTTGGGAGTTCCTCTTATGGCCAATTCCAGCCCAGACCATACTGAGAAGGGAATTCAAGAAAACACATTTCTAGCTTGGCTAAGTTACACAGTACAAAGTACCTAAACTTCGAATTCCAGTGATTCTTTTGTTTTCCACCCACTTCCAGTCTTCTCATCTAGACTTGGATGGGGATCAAAATTGGATGGTGGCTAGTGGCAGTACAGCTAATCTCTTAGGAGTCCTGGATGGGAACCTAACCCCATTTGTTTGAATGTGGGTGCCCTGATTCCTCCTATTCTCAGTTTTGGACCCTGGTGACCATTTCCAAGGCAGTAGGAAATGTTTCACCAGATAAGACTGCATTTTATCACATTCTGAAAGATTCTATTTCACAACCCCATTAGATGAGATTATATTTTTAAAAGAATCTTCTGTGAGGGAAGGGACCGGTACCTGGAACATGCTAGTTTACTTTTAGCTGTTTAGACATTTCTTTCTATCATCGCCTGAAAATGTGTCCAAGTATAATAAGCAAATTTACAGTGTACATGACAATTTTGCTAATTTAGATCTAAGCCAGTGCTTTTGAAACTATGAGAGGAGTGTAAAAAATGATATCAAGTAGATCCTTGTTTATCTTATATATATAATCCATGCCTTTCTTAGAAATAGTGTATTTCTATGGGACCAAAATGTTATTTTTAGTTTGATTCTATTGTATTATTAAAGAACTCAGAATCCATTCACTAGCATATTGTTATTAGGGAAAACATAAAAATGTAGTAGATACTTTATTGATACATATAATCTCTAATTCTAGGGCTTAGATTAGAAAGACAAGATTCAGGACATAAATGTAGATGTATAATAGAGACACTTATGATATAGTTCATGAGGTTAAATGAACTGTACTCTACATCGATTCCTAAGTGATTTCCTGAATATGTTTTGCTTATAATTTATGCTACATTCACCCATATCCATCCACTACCAAAAAGGATCTGAGGTGACTGATTTTCTAGACTTAAACTAATCCTGTGCGTAATTCAAGATAAATAAACTATGAACTATGTATGATTTATTTAACTCTTCCACTAAAGCTGTCTAAATATTTTCTCTAAGTACTAAATATTTCTAAATCATACAGGATATATTTAAATTCAGTGACTGATTTGTTGAAAGTAAATATAATATAAACCTCCAGCTACATGCACACACATGCAAATGTTCAGAAAAAGGCATGGGAGGATTCACTCCCAACTGTGAGTAGCAGTTCTCACTGAGGAGGAGAGAGACACTGTGTAGGGAGGAAGGAGGGGGATATTTGGTATCAGGGGAGAAAAAGAAGTGCTTTCATTTGCAATTTTTACAAAACGTGTGTGTTTGTGTACCACTATTATATTTAAGGAAACAAACACTTCTAATTAAAAGATAACATCAATTTTAATTTAAAAAGGCATAGATCTGTAGAATCTTTAAATAGACCGATTACCAGCAATGAAGTTGAATCAGTAATCCAAAAGTCCCAACAAACAGAAGTCCAGGACCAGATGGCTTCATAGGAGAATCCTACCAAACATTTAAAGAAGAGTTAGTACCTATTCTTCTTAAACTATCCTCAAAGATAGAAGAGAAAGGAAAACT